GTCATGTGATCCCAGAGTCTATATTCTCACAACTATTACTTTTGTCAACATATAGAGGCACAGACAAATATAATTTTCTTAATTCCATTGCCTGGTAATATTTTGGTGCTTTTTGTAGACAGATGGTCTTGGAGGCTTTAGTGTTGGCTTGCTACTATCTATGTCTTCAACACTTCCCCATGCCATCTGAGGTTTTATTCCTGGGGGAGAAAAAGCGCACAGGGGCTCCAGCAGGAGGGAGAAAGCAGGATGGGGAAGAAGGATGTCTCAGTGGAAGAATTCTTTTCTTTTTTTCTTTTTTTTCAGTCATGGGATTTGAACTCTGGACCTGGGTGCTGTCCCTGAGCTCTTCAGCTCAAGACAACTACTTGAGCCAAAGCACCACTTGCGGTTTTTCTAGTGGATAATTGGAGATAAGAGTCTTAAAGAGACTTTCCTGCCTAGGCTGCTTTGAACCGTGATCCTCACATCTCAGCCTCCTGAGTAGCTAGGATTACAGGTGTGAGCCATAGGTACCCAGCTTAGTGGGGCTCTTTTTTATATATCATATATTTTTATTATAAGAGGAACTCTTTATATATGTGTTTCCATGAAACTATTCTTCTTCTAGTCCTGGAGAATAGCACAAAACTTAGTTGCTCAAGCCAAAACTCTTGTTGGATCTCCCATGTGTGAACCTGGAAAAAATCCTTAATTTTGCTAAGCCCATGAACTTGCCACATGACACCACCCAAACGTGCCACATGACACCACAGTTTTTCTCGCTAAAACCTCAGAGGCAAAGGTGATGTTCATGACCTTAAAGTCCAGCCTGGCCTCATGATTCGCTTTGACAGTGACAAAGCAAAAGCTTAGGCTTTAAGTGATTTTTGTGTTCCCACCTGTTCTTTTAGAATATAGCCCAGCTAACCTCCTGAAGGGATCATAAAGCAAAGCCATGTTACCCAATTTATCCAAACTAAGACCTAGATTAGCCAACAACAAGGCAAACTACAGCAAGGAGAGTAAGATCAGCCATATTAGCAGATCTACCTAGCCAGCTACCCCACTTATTTTGTATGATACTGATGATCAGGATTGAATTTTATATTACAATATTAGCAATAGATAAGTGATATGTTCCTTACTCTGTTTTATTATATCCCAGACATTTCAATTGTGGTCTAAGTTCTGTAATTTCTACCTACAAAACAACTCTCAAATTCACTTTTTTCCAGGTCATTGTTCTACCATAGTTTAAGAGCTACCATCAGCTTAGGTAAGCTGAACTACTCATTTTTCTGCCTCCACCCTATGCACTTTGAACCTATCCTTCAAATATCTGCGAAATATCAGATCACTTCAATAATTGTCTTACTTAGAGTACTCTCATTCATTTCATTGTTCCTAGAGAAGAGTCTTAACTCCTTACAATAACCCACAGGAACTGCAAGGCCTGCCTACTATGAGGCTAAAAAATGTAGTTTTATTATACTTTCATTCTTCAAACATCTTCAAAATGTTTTCAAATGTGTTGCTACTTAGAAATATTTGCCTGCAGAAAAGTATTTTGCTATTTTAATTCTTGGACTATTATTCTGTTAAATGTACTAAAATAAAAGTTCATTTTATTAGACATGGAAGTCTGATTTTACCAAATTGAACATAAAGATCTGGTTTTACCAAATGACAAAAATAATTAACATGCAGGATAAGATGGCAGGATGAAAGGACAGTGGCACTGGAGACCCAAGGTATCATGCTGAAACCACAGAAGAACCAACGTACACCTGGAAAAAAGGCTCACATTTGGAGGTTTAAGAGCAAAGAAATAAAAATGATGCTTCTAAAGGCTCTTGCACAGCTGATCTTAACAGCACACCTATGGTGGAATAGGGGAACTAGGTTAGCCCTGAAGTTGGATGTATTAGCTCAAAGACACAAATCAAACGTCCTGAGAATGGACAGGAAGTATTAAGTATTACTTGATATTCATATGCAATACTTTCACCCAAAGAAAAAAACCTTTTGCACATTTTCCCTGTCTTATAACTGAGAAACTCAGGATTCAATGAGTTTTCATACTCAGAAATTCGTTTTCATTTTGACTTCAACCAAGCATGCTAACTTGACAATTCACATAGTTTCTTAGTCTGTGAGCTTTCCAGAAATGAGCTACAATGATTCAAGGGGCCAACTCTTAGCATCTATATAGATGGATACATAAAAAAAGTACCATAGGTGTAAAAATAGCAAAAGTCAGTTTTTGTTCTGAAACATGGTGGCTTCAGCCCCAGAACACCAGAAGTAGCACAGGAATCCCTGAGAAGGGCACATGGGGCTTGCAGGAGCACCAGGACATTTTCATCTTCCAGGAAGTACATCTTCAACATGAAGTACAGGGATAGTTCATCCCTCAGCTAGTCTAGGCTTTAAGCATTCTCCGTTATCCCTTGGAACAGGGAGAAGTTTGCTGACAGTGGAGAGAAGCAGTTGGATTCTGGTTTCCCTAGGATTTCACACTCATTCCTCTACTCAGGAAGACATTCCCCTAGGAAAATGAAATCCAATAAAATGGTACATGACATAGACTTTCTAACTCTCTCTTTACAAGTGACTTATTTTCTGCCTTTTCTTAGTCTGAATCCTTCATCAGCAATGTCTACCCATCTTATCTGTCTACACCCAGTCTTTCCTTCACATATCACCTCACTCTACCTCACTCTGAAGCCATTAAATGACTGAGTCCAAATCATAAGTCTCTCTCTTTAATAAACCATAAGTACAATCAAGTTTTCTATGCATTCCTGGTACATCACAAACATATATGTGCACACATGCATGCATATACACACATACATATACACACTATTATACACTGTGCTCTATCTCAGTAAATTACCTGTAATACAGACCTAATAATAATCGTTTTGTGCATTTTATTTCTCTAATAGATTAATCTCACAAAGTTTGATCAAGCTTCTTGAATCACAAACATATATGTACACATGCATGCATATACACACATACATACACACACTATTATGCACTGTGTTCTATCTCAGTAAATCCAGCCCTAATAATCATGGTTTTGTGCATTTTCTTTCTCTAATAGATTAATCTCACAAAGTTTGATCAAGCTTCTTGAATATCTCTAGAACCTGACCACTTATTTTTTTTATTGTGAAAATACTGTACAGAGGGATTACAATTACATGGGCAAGATAATGAGTACGTTTCTTATCGAGCATTGTAGCCTCCTCCTTTGTTTCTCCTTCCCAACCCTTCCCATCCTCCCCCTGCCCCCCCCCACCCAATCCTTTTCCCCCCCACCAAAGTTGTAAAGTTCGTTTTTTGACATAACGACTTGTACATCTCATTGTTGCAATGGTCCACCTGTATCCCTATTTAAACGATTTGTTTTTTCCCTTCCCCTCCACAAATTATACCAACATCAAATAGAGTGAACGCAGGGTAGACCCTGACCATTTATTTCTATCCCAAATGCATCTATCTTCTTGTGCTAGCCATCTCCAATTCTTTCATCTGTACCTCCTTCTAATTTATATTCCTAAATTGCCCATTGCTATATTCCAATATATACTAAATAACAAATGCAAATACTAAAAAACAAAATACAAACCAAGCTGAGTGCCAAAGGATCAGACCTGTAGTTCTAGCTACTCAGGAGTCTGAGATTTGAGGATTGCGGTTTAAAGCCAGACTGGGCAGAAAGGTCTTTGAGACTCTTATCTCCAATTAACCACCAAAAAAGCCAGAAGTGGAGTGCAAGAGGTATAGTACTAGCCTTGAGCAAAAGAAGCTCAGAGCCAGTGCCCAGGCCCTGAGTTCAAGCCTCAACTGGCACAAAAAATAAGAGAAGTCCCTCATGAGTAAAACATTTCAGTGATCCTTCTCTCTTCATTATATGTCTTTTTTCTTTATGTGGTATAAGGTTCTACAAAATCTGACTCGTGATTGTATGGTTCCATCTCTTGCTATTTCCTTGCATTATACTCACATCTAAACTTTAAGCTGTGTCTGAACAGTCCTTTACTTGTCCTTTGACTGGTTAAATTAAATATATTCTTCCTATCTCTGCTGAGATATTTTCTCTGTTTTCTGGGATTGTCTAATATCACTTTTCACAATGTTCCTATGTATTACATGATCCTTGATCACTTTTTTACTTTTATAGAGCTCAGGGCTTTAGTTTAAAACAAGGAAACAAACTCCAGCTAATTAAAGCAATGTAAAAGCACTTTTAGTAGGGGCTGGGAAGGTGGCTCAGTGGTAGAGTGCTTGCCTTGCATGCATGAGGCCCCTCAGCAACACATAAGCAGGAAAAAAAAAAGCTGGAAGTGGCACTATGGCTCAAGTGGTAGAGCGCTAGCCTTGGGCTGAAGAGCTGAGGAACAGTGCCCAGGCCCAGAGTTCAGCTTTCTTGACCCGCAAAAATAAAATGAAACAACAACAACAACAAAAAAAAACCTTTTTAATATTAGGTAGCTTACAGAATCTCTGGGATGGGCAAAAGATGGAGCTACTTGGCCAGTATTCATGCTTCAATTTTCTCCTATAAAGAAGCTTCAGTAGAGACATCAGAATGCCAAGAATGTGAATAAATGAATGGGGGTAGGGATGAGGGTACAAAGGTGGTAGAAGGAGGTAGGTGCTAGAAAACAGGTCAGGTTCCAGTTGGGTAACTCGGATCAGCTCAGGCCTAATGCTGGCCACTCCTACACAGGTCTTTCTAATCTGCTTCTCATTCTCCTTAGGAAGAATTGAGGTCTCCGGAAAACAGCCAAAAAGCTGTGATGGAAACACCAAACCTAAATAATGCTAAAACATCAGGAGTGCTGAAAGGTACTTCTGTTCTTCTGCTCCCTAAGCTGAGGAGGTGGAGCCCCCAAAGCCATAACTCCTTCTGGAGGAGGGGTGGGGGAATTAGAAGGCACACAAAGGCCCCTGGCTGAGAACTTGATTCCTCATTCTTCAGTTGGTACAAGAACTGGGAGAAAATGTCTGTACAGTAAGTATCTCTGGGAGAGTTTTTTAATTTAAATAATGCTTTAGTGCTGGCACTAGATGGTAAATGGGCTATTTCAAAGAGCTCCTGAAAGAATTGAATTGGTTGATGATGTTTAAAAAAAAACTGTTCAGTCTCAATAGCATAATTTCTTGCCCTATTGAAGTAAAGGTATAGAATTCAGATCTAAGTGATGGTGAGACTCATGTGACTGACACTGGAACTTGAAAACAGTAATGTACAGAGAAATATCGCACAAAGCCAGGCACTGGTGACTCAGGTCTATAATCCTTGCTACTCAGAAGGCTGAGATGTGAGGATCGCAGTTCAAAATAAGCCCAGACAGGAAAGTCTATGAGATTGTTATTTCCAATTAACCACCAGAGACTGGGAGCAGAGCTGTGGCTCAAAGTGGTAGAGTACTAGCATAGAGCACAAAAGCTCAGGGACAGTGCCATGGCTCTGAGGTCAAGCCCGACAACCAACACCCCCCAAAAGAAATATCTGACAGACTTTGGTTTCACTTCTTGCCAGTCAGTTCCTAGCAGTGTGACTTTGAGTAAGTTATTTATTTTTGAGTCCAAGTTGCTTAAATTTTTAAAGGTTTTTTTTTAATCTGTTGAATTACTATAACAATACTTCTTACTAGACTGTGTTGTTGTGAGATTTTAATGAATCAGTATCATGCAAAGTTATTTTGTGGTGAAAGTGATTTATGGAAAGTAATTATGAATGTCGGGTGTCAGTGAGTCACACTTCTAATCCTAGCTACTCGGGAAGCTGAGATTTAAGGATCACAACTCAAAACCAGCCTTAGTAGAAAAATCTGCGAGATTCTATCTCCAAAAAGAAAAAAAAAACCATGTTGTTGTCCTGGCTCAAGTGGTAAAGCATTAGCCATGAACCCCCCCCCCCAAAAAAAAAGCCAAGTTCAAGCCCCAATACTGGTATATACAAACATCAATAATTATGATAACTAGCAGAATCCCCACTCTAGGAACTTATAAAATGTAGGCAAGGAGATGAAGGAAATACATAAAAATATAGATTCTTATTCTCTTGATTTTTTTTTTTCGGTCCTAGAGCTTGAATTCAGGGCCTGGGTACTGTCCCTGAGCCACTTTGTGCTCAAGGCTAGTGCTCTACCACTTGAGCCACAGTGCCACTTCCCACTTTTTGAGTAGTTTATTGGAGATAAGAGTCTCACTGGGCCAGGCGCTGGTGGATCACGCCTTTAATCTGAGCTACTCAAGAGGCTGAGATCTGAGGATTGTGGTTCAAAGCCATCAGGGCAGGAAAGTCCACGAGACTCTTATCTCCAATTAGCCACCAGGAAACCAGAAGTGGTGCTGTGGATCCAGTAGTAGAACACTGGCCTTGAGCTGAAGAGCTCAGGGACAGCACCCAGGCCCAAAGTACAAAGCCCCACAACTAACAAAACAAAACAAAAGTCAACAATAACAACAACAACAAAAAAAGAGTCTCACTGGAACTTTTCTGCCTGGGCTGGCTTTAAACTTCAATCCTCAGATCTCATTCTCCAGAGTAGCTAGGATTTACAGGTGTAAGCCACCAGCACACCAAAGCTCTTGGGCTTTCATAGAAAATAGTATAAATGTGAGTGAGGATGAGTTACCTGATCTGAAATGCTATTGTCTCCCAATCTGTAGGCACAAAACAAATGACTGTATGAGGCAAGAAAGTCAGCAGTACAGTCAGCTGAGAGTCTCCATAGGGCAGGGTACATCCTGGAAAAGGCCTAGACAGCATCAAAGTCCAGGAAGAAAAGGGCCAATTTCAGAGTTCGTTGTTTTGTCTTCAGAAATAGAAGAAAAGTACAGAGGCTAGGAGTAAGTCTAACATAACAACTGATTTTAAAAGAGGGACCATGTTCCATGACATGAAAAGCAAACCCTAAAGTGAGCCCCATTCTCTTCTCTGAGAACTGTACAGTAATGAGTACTGGCGCCTGCCACTCCCTCCACCACCCGTTCCCATGCTCCCTGGGGGCGGTCAGATTGGCAGCAGCGCATTAGCGTTGAGCCATAGGTGCCTTCCCTCCTGGTACTCTGCTGCCTCCTCCTTGACCTTGAACTACCAGAATACCAAAATGAACTTCCTCACCATTGCAGAGTTGAGCACCCTGCGGCTGGTTATAAGAAGCTGTTTGAAACTGTGGAGGAACTGTCCACACCACTCACAGCTCATGTCACAGGTGGGTCTCCCTCATCATGACACCATCTTCTTTTTTGTGAAGGTCTTTCTTCTTTGTCTTCATATCAGTTGCATCTCTAGAGGCTACAGGGAAGGGGATTTGGAATTTTAGGGGTTTTATTTCATTATTTTCTCTTGTTGACCTTCATTTCACTTCTTCATTTCACTAATGTGCATACATGGTACCTAACTGCAATTCCTTCAAGCGTGGGACTACACCTTTCTTCATCTTCGTATCAGAAAGACTAGTCAAATTTATCTATAGGAAATAATCCACTTTTTAATCCAGTAAGAATGGAAGGAGGAAGGATGATGTAGTTATGGTATTCAGTATACACTATATAAAAAATGAACTATGCAACTTATAGGCAGGGATAGGAAGTGAAAACAGATAAGAAAAGGAGGGGAGACACTGTTCAAAAAGAATTGTACTCATTAGCTGACTTATGAAATAGTTACCCCTCTGAAAAACATCTTAGCAATAAAATTACATTCAAAAATTTTTAATCTAGTAAGTGTAAGCATTATGCCAACCTTTGGTCCTCAGCTCCACCCAAACCTGAGCCCCTCCCATCCCTGGAGTTCTGGCCATACAGCTGGCCCCTCCCTCACCATCCATAACCTGAACTCTCATCTACCTCACTTCCTACCCTCAGACGCTGCTGCTACCTAGATAGCGGAGGTCGCCATGTGCTCTCTCTCCAGGGCAAATATGGCTTCTCTAATAAACCTTGTAATAATCGTTCTCCTGTGCCTGCCTGCCTCTGTGTGGTCCCTGGCATGGATTTGATGAATCCTTTCAGTAAAGATTGCTCAAACCATGTCCAGTGTTCACCGCTCTTAAGGATGGTCTTGAGTACACTTTATTTTACATATGAGGAAACTGGAGGATCCAAGAGGGCTCACGGCATGTCCTGACTGGAATCTAGGTCCTGACACCCAGCCCTATGCACTCTTTACTATAGGAAGCTGATCTTCATTGGGTACTTTGATTCAAACCCTAAGAGAAACAGAATTCTCGATTTTCTTGTTTATTTTTATTTTTGTTGTTGTTGGGGCCTGAACTCTGGGCCTGTGCACTGTCCCTCAGCTCTTCAGCTCAAGAATAGTGCTCTACCACTTGAGCCAAAATGTCACTTCCAGTGTTTTCTGCTTATGTGGTGCTGAGGAATAGAACCCAGGTCCTCATGCATGCAAGGCAAGCACTCTACTACTGAGCCACCTTCCCAGCCCAATTTCTCGATTTTCAAAAGCCAGTAAGAATTCCTGTTGTTTCATTAAAATGGTTTCTTCTATAAATTCACCTTTTTAAATGTTTTGCTCTTCTCATTGTTCATCCCTCTACCCCCAGTCTATTAAAACACATTAACATTTTTTGAATTCCTTTAAAAAGTAAGATGGCAAAAAGGCCGATGGAATTGTGTTTAGAGATGGATTAGTGTTAAGGTGAGTATTCTCTTCACCTCAAGATGCCTTTATCTCACTTCTTCAACCCATTATCCAAACTCTGTGGTGTTGACATATTTCCCACCATCTGCTTTCCTAGTGAAAGGAGACTCAGACTAGCAGACACTGTCTCAGTATTGTCCAGCATGGTTGCTGAGACCAGAAGTCACTGCCAGCCTATTACAGAAGAGGCTGCCCAATGGGGCTGCTAGTATCACCATTCCAACTTACAAAGACTGAACCCAGACCGAGGACAGAGATGAGAAGCAATGCTCTGTGTCTAACTTCATCACAGGCAGGATACCCCTCTGGCTCACTGGCAGCCTCCTTCGATGTGGGCCAGGACTCTTTGAAGTTGGATCTGAACCATTTTACCACCTGTTTGATGGCCAAGCCCTCCTGCACAAGTTTGACTTTAAGGAAGGACATGTCACATACCATAGAAGGTAAGGGAGTATCCAGTCCACTCCTCTCCCCAGAGAAAGGCCTAGCTCAGTTCCTTCTACCATGTATTCCCCCTCGTACATCCAAAAGAAGACCTATGTATCAACTTCCTTTGCAGAAGCTTCCTTAATCAGTGTGTCCAGTAGTTGCCAGGGAGCCCTATCATAAAGCAATGAGAAAGCTAGATCTAGCATTAAGATCTAGCCTGGCTTCAAATCCTGTATCCACCACAATTTGCTTCTGTTGGTGATGCCTGGCAAAATGTTGGCCTTTAATTCCTGATCTTGTCATATGTAAAAGGGAGAATTAGCTTGGCAGATTCATTGCCCAGATTATTGTCAGTATAAGGTCTAGCACATAGGATGTACTCTAGAATAACACAAGTTTTTGTTATTCAACCAACGCCCAACTTGATTCCTTTTACTTTTTATAATTAGAAAGGACTGGAAGGAGAGTAGGAAGGGGGTATCATGGAGATACCAAAAAGAGGAGTGTTCCAAAAACAAGAAGAAGTTATTGCTAAAGAGTTTGGAGGTCCAGCCCATCACTCTAAGAAGCCCTCATGCCAATACAATACTTGTGTCTCTCACTTCAATATTCTCATGTGTTAATGGCTTTGTTGATAACTACAGATTCCAGGAATTTTGAGTAGACATCAAGAGGAAGACCTGAACCATTCAGGCTACCTTGGACTGTGACAGAATAAAACCGGTCAAACCAACCAAAAATTTACCTATGAGAGCAAATTTTGGAGTTCAGAAAGAGCTTTTTCATACATTCTAAAGACCTTGTTCCTCTTCACATAACTGCAAGTCAGATATTAGTTTGCTCTTCACATGACAAATCTTAGGCAACATTTGCCAGTTAATGTGAGATGCAGGTCAGCAGATCTACCTATGCAGAGATAGAATTCAAGAATATCCATTTTCAAAATGTCACAAAATAAATTCTAAAATTGAATCAAAGCCCAAGAGGGAAGCAAAAATATTTAAAGGAATATAATTTAGCACACCAGCATCTAGGTTCCCCCTATATGTACATTATCAGGTTCTAGGATAAAAAAGAGTTAGAAATACTAGAATACCCATGGAAAACTTCTCCCATAGGGAAAGTTCACTTTGTCTGATACTAACCAAGTCTGAATTCTACAAAGCCAGCTCAGCTTCATATGCCAATCACTTAAGTTTTTTTGGAACCATAATTTCCTTATCTGTCACTGTAAGGCTTAGAAGACTATATTTAAGCTCCCCTGGGCCACTCCAAGAAATGGGACAGACAGTGTCTTTATGCCTCATATTATGGCTTTCTAATCCTAGTTTGATAAAAGCTCATTGAACAACCATCCTAAGCTCTACACGAACGCAGTGAGGGCCCTTGCATGTGACCCTTTCCTATGTCTCAATGCTTTTCAGGTTCATCCGCACTGATGCTTATGTCCGGGCAATGACTGAGAAAAGGATCGTCATCACTGAATTTGGCACCTGTGCTTTCCCAGATCCATGCAAGAATATATTTTCCAGGTTACTGAAACCAAGCTGCATGTTATTCATGATATTTTACAACAACCCCTTTCCTCTTACAGCTTGAAAATTAGTGAACTGAAAAACTCATTTGCTTCTGCAGGTTTTTTTCTTACTTTAGAGGAGTAGAAGTGACGGACAATGCCCTTGTAAATATCTACCCAGTGGGAGAAGATTACTATGCCTGCACAGAGACCAACTTCATTACAAAGATTAATCCAGAAACCTTGGAGACAATTAAGCAGGTACAATGCAATGCTTAGGTGTCATTGCTTAGGAATTTAAATTTTGGAATTTAGAATTCAATCAAAACCTTGTTTTCTACCAATACTAGTGATATAACATAAGATGAAATTGATCTCTTCATTCAGGACATTTTAAATACATGATTTGGAGGAAAGCCATAAAAAATTCTTAACATAATCACACATTCTTGTACAACATAAATGCTTATTGAGTACTTTCCATGTATCAGAATGCTTGCCAAATGCAAGAGGTGTATCAATAAGTATAAGACAATAAGGTCTGAGTTGCCAGGTTTTATACAATGGATCTAGGATGGATCTAGTGCACAGTGGATGTTCAACATTTTATAACTATTAAAATTGGAAACCTTGCTATTATGGTTTTAGGCAAATATGTTGTACCAATTTGCCCCTTCTTGCAATAACGTAAAGCTTTACCTTAAATGAAATAACACAGGCATAAATAATAGCTATATCAGGAAATAACTAAAAAACTTGGGAGGTATCAATGTAGCATTCCTTAAAATGGACCCATAATTTTAATCAACATTTATTAACGTATACTTGCAAAGCATTGCAAATGTCTTTAGGAAGGTCAATACATAGACTGAAGAATGAAAGTGGAGCACCGCCATAACACAACATTTGACGAGTCCTTTAAGAAAAGAGAAATGTAACAAAGCACAAATAGATTATTTCCCACCGGTGGAGGCAGATCAAGGAAGCTTGCATCTTAGCCAGAAATTTGTTTTAAAGTAAAACTTCAGTGAGTTTGATGAAAGGCTATTCAAGATGGAGGAGTTACAACTAAGCAAGATACAGAAGTGGGGAAATGGTCATAGAAACTGAGAATAATCTCCATGGGCTTGACGTGCAGCATTTCCCAGTGGAGGCCCTCCTCCAATACTTCCAGACCTAACAGTAGGAAGCAGTACCACTCCAAAGTAGGAGTTTGTCTTCTGGGCATTTGATGTCAAGGGTGATAGTGGAACACAGTGTGGGGTAAAACTAAATGTTTGAATAGTGGGCTACACCTTTGCAATAAATAGATTCGCTAATGAGAGTCTACAGAAAATATGCTTAAAGAACTGACATAAGCAGAACTATGTTTATGGGAGGACAAAAGAGCTAAGGATAGCCAGGAGGCCAATATTGGAATTTAAAACTATAGATAACACTAATGTATATTCTAAAAGGCTAGAAGAAACCATTTTTAATATTTTACCATAAAACTTTAAATGTTAGAGAAAACAGATACATTTAACCTGACTTAAACACTACATAATGTAAATATTATTGGAACATCACAGGTTACCCTGAAAAGTGTACAATATTTATGTTTTAATTGTAAGAAACAGACCAGAGGTATAATGAAGTGGTAGTAGAAATGGAAAGTCTCAGTCATTGTTGGAACTATTTACAAGTCTCAACAGACTATTTACATATACTGTACTTTCTTTCTGATGTGTATGTGACTATGTTCAAGTGTATGTGAAAGCTGAGTTTCTAAACAATTCTTACTCTAACTAAATCTGTATTTCAATTGCACAGTGCCTCCACTGGAAATGTAGCAGCTATAGTTTGTCTGTAGAATAGACTTTGTCATGGGCCAGTTTAGCACTGTACCATGAATTCACGTAAGAGTTTTGAATTAGAAAAAAATTGCTATTATCTTTACCTGATTCCCCAAAGTACAATTTCCTTGATTCAGCACATGTAAAACTGCCAATACAAAGAACCATCTACATCTAGAACCCCCATAGTTTCAAATGGGGGTGGAGGAAAGTGGTTCAGTTTCACTTCCCTAGTACATGAACCTTCCCAGACATCTTGCTGCATAACTGGTGATTCCTAGATGAAATGCACCACTTCCCAATTCTATGCTTTCACATCATGATTCCTGTTTCCTAGAAGAGTCATTCTATTCTACCTGGCTAACTTCTCCTCATCTCTCAAGCATCAGTTGGAGGTATTGCCCCAAAGAAGCTTATCTAATCTTCCATTCTAGCTTAGATGGCCTTTGCAGGTTCGGTTTCACACTCACTGCTCTTGATGGGGACCTCTCCAGGAACCATTTTTTCTCATATCCGGCTTATGTTATAGCCAGAAATGTTCCATATCTGCATTTTCCAAATGCTGTTGAGCACTTTACATGTGGCAAATGTGACTAAGGAATTGAATTTGAAATTTTGTCTGATTTGCAATTAATTTACATTTATATTGCTACGTGGCTACCAAGTGGAACCACATAGGTCTAAACCGGAATTCCCAAAAGAAAGGATCTTTTCTGTTTCCCTGTGTGGTGGCTCCATTCCTGGCATGTACTAGATGATCAGTTATGAACTCAGTGATGAGTGGGCTAAAAATATTCTCCTAATCAAACATTCCATTAATTATTCATTCAACAAAATGTTACTGGGTAGGGTCTAGGTAGAAATTCTAGTACTGATATACCAAGACAGGCCTCTGCATCACTGAACAAGACATTTCACTTCTCTGATACCTCAATGTCTCCTTCTGAAAACTGAAAGGCCAAGATTTTTAATTTCTTAAAAGAAATTAAAGTGCAGAATATTTGTGGCTGGGAGCTAGTGGCTCATGCTTATAATCCTAGCTACTCAGGAGGTGGTTCAAAGCCAGCCCAGGCAGGAAAGTCTGTGAGACTCTTATCTCCAATTGACCACCAGAAAGCTGAAAGTTGCACTGAGGCACAAGGGGTGGAGCACTTGCCTTGAACTGAAAAGCTCAGGGACAGTGCCCAGGCCCAGAGTTCAAGGTCTACAACTGCTCCCCCAAAAAAATTGTGTTTATTCCTCAGAAACTTGTTTCTCACCTAATTAAGGTTTTCACTGGACAAATCTTGAAGTTCCTTTCAGTTCCAGTGTATACTCTGTACATGACATTGGATGGCTGGCATTGTAGTCAAGGAAGAAAATGTCTTTTTTCCCTCACTTGAGACATCCATTAAAGAGCATAAGGGATAAGTGACAGGGAATCTGAAAGTTGTTTACAATGCTTCAACATTTTAAATAAAAACAATTAAGTTAAAAAAGCAAAAATTGTCAATATATCTTGAGTTCTGGTCATGGTTATATAGAGGTAGATTATAATATCCTTTATTTATAAAATAGGAATCTGAATATCCATAAAAAAAGAGTAACAATTAAGCTGGACACTGGTAGCTCATTTCTATAACCCTCTCAAAAGGCTGAGATCATATGACCCTGGTTCAAGCAGGCTAAGGCAGGAAAGTCCATGAGATTTTAATCTCCAAGTAATCAGACAAAAGCCATAAATGAAGCTGAGCCTCAAATGGTAACACATTAGCCTTCAGGGAAAAAAAAAAAAGCTCAGAGACAGTGCTCAGGTCCTGAGTTCAATCCCCAAGATCAGAGAAAAAAAGAGACATAGCTTTAGTTTGTTTGTTTTTTATAAATCAAACTTTATTGAATATCAAACAACTTACTATGATACAATAAAAGAAACATGCAGAAGTCCCAGGACTCAAATACATCATTGTTTGTTCAACCAGAGCAGTATATATGGTTGGTATCAAGTGCAGAGCACAGTGACAGAGAAATCTAGATTTCAGAAGTCCAGATAGTCAGAGGAAAGTCCTGAATTGAAGTAAAGGCAAGACTTCAGATGAACCTTAAAGATGATAGATGAATAGAGAGATCAAAAGAAAGACAAAGTACAATAGAGTGGGATCAAACCTAAGGACAATCATCTTTCTCTTAACATAGATGTCATTGCTCTCCTTCTACAGGTTGATCTTTGTAAGTATGTCTCAGTCAATGGAGCCACTGCTCATCCCCACATTGAAAGTGATGGGACTGTTTACAACATTGGTAATTGCTTTGGGAAAAATTTTTCAATTGCTTATAATATAGTAAAGATCCCTCCACTACAAGCAGGTAAGTTTACCAGCCTTCCCTCTTCTGGAAATAAGTATTTATATTGTAAAAAGGCTATGGCAAGTATAAGATTTTCAGACCATCAGAGATAACATAAATGCAATTAAAATATTATCACAGTTGCAACAGTTGCTCTCATCCCCATCCTACTAGGAAACTAATGTCCAAATGCATCACATCATAAGAAATGAAGACTTAAAGATACAGAAAGTGAATAACTAAGTTACACTCTACAATGGTTTAAAATATAGTGTATATGTTGACCATATCTAATTTAGATCTAACTTAGATCTAATTTAGATCTAATTTAAGTTGACCATATCTAATTTAGATCTAAATCCAGCAAGTGATTTAATTATTTAATTAATTTGTTGGGTTTTGAGCATTTTTTTTTTTTTGGTCAGTTGTGGGTTTTGAACTCGAGGCCTGAGCACTGTCCCTGAGCTTTTTTGCTCAAGGCTAGCCCTCTACCATGTAAAGCTAGTGCTCTACTACTTTGAGCCACAGTACCACTTCCAGTTTTTCTTGGTTAATTGATAAGCATCTCATAGACTTTCCTGCCTGGACTAGCTTTGAGCTGTAATCCTCAGATTTCAGCCTTCTGAGTGCTGGGATTACTGGTGTAAACTACCACATACAGCTCAGCAAACCTGTATTGAATACTTATTCATATCCCAAACATAATTAAATAAGTATTTTGTGTTTAATTTCTAAACCTACAAGTAAGTTGAGGAAAGAATTAAAACAGAAAGGAGAGTACTCAGACTTCTCCATTCATCTTCTGCTCATTAACACATTCATTGTTATCTTGATGTCATCAGCCTGATGACAGAATGACTGGATCCCATGTGGATTTTTGTTTAGTATTATGAATATAGTTCTTGAAGCATAGTTTTTCAAGTAGCATCACCATCTGGGAACCTATTAAAAATAGAAATCTTAAGTCCCTTGCCGAGCAGACTGAACAAGAAATTCTGGCAGTAGGGACACAATCAATATTTTAAGAAGGCATGTATATCATATTCCAGTGGAGGACCACTGACTTTATATAAATTTTTACTTGCGCAAGAATTACGTATAGAGATAATATAAACTCATCTATCCTATACTGCATAGACATCTTGAAATTCTGTAAAAGGCATTTTCATCCTACTAAATCTTTGCCTTGCTTCTCTGACTTAAAATCCACTACCATTTGTTGGAAGAAGGGACTCCATAATATTTTTCCACATCCTTATTTGAGTGAACTTTTCAAAACTTGCTACCATTTGAATTGTCTTGGGAAATTGCAGCTTCACATAAAATTTCACTAAGCTATATCAGTGAATGAAAATAAGCTCTGGAAAATAGCAGTACCTGCCTGATGTTTTTTTTTATTTTAAAAATTAAAATTATTAAATACCTATTAACAATTAAATTATTTAAAAAATGCTTTGTATTTAAAAAAGATAAGAGGCTCTTCCAAAGCCTTTTAAAACTCCTTTATTTCAGACAAGGAAGATCCAATAAGCAAGTCGGAGGTCGTTGTACAGTTCCCCTGCAGTGACCGATTCAAGCCATCTTATGTCCATAGGTAACTCGAAGGCCTGCTACAAATCTTCAGGAAAACTCAAAAGTTTAAAGCTCTGCTTTGCTTCCTTTGATACTAATCTCAATCATGATGCTTTTTTGCCAAAAAGTAAATGTAAACCTTAAATAATTTCATGGAGGCACTGTTGATTCATTGAACTTGAACATACCTTGTGTACATAGTTTATTTGTAGCTTGAGAATCAGCCTTTGCATTCACAAACCCTTTATGTTTCTGGAAACAGTTTTGGTCTGACTTCCAACTACATTGTTTTTGTGGAGACACCTGTCAAAATTAACCTGTTCAAGTTTCTGTCATCCTGGAGTCTTTGGGGAGCCAACTACATGGACTGTTTTGAGTCCAATGAAACCATGGGGGTGAGTTTAAATGTACTTGTTAAGTTTGTGATACTGCATAGAGTGCATTTTATAATGTGTGCTTTTTTCCTTTTGAAATGCAACAAAAACTGTTCTCCTTAATTTTTAAGGTTTGGATTCACATTGCTCACAAAAGACAAAGGAAGTACCTCAATAATAAATACAGGACCTCTTCTTTCAATTTGTTCCACCATATTAACACTTACGAAGATGATGGTTTTCTCATTGTGGATCTCTGCTGCTGGAAAGGGTAAGAAAGGATATTTGATAAGTGTTCCATTTCCAGTTGCTTCTAGAAAGAGGAGGCTTTGACATAGATGTAAATTAATGTTTAATCTGAATTACATCTTTTTTTTAAAAAGCCAGAGGTATACAACAGTCAAAACAAAACCACATAATTCAAAAAAGCAGTAGAAAACACCAACTGAAAATCAAAGCATGGTTAATGAAGGAAAACCAATTGGACTCATGAAGAAGATCTGAAAAGAGAAGATTCTGTGACCTGGGAAGCAAACATACACTTGACAAGATGTCTAGAGGGCCTTGAATCCCACTCATTTTGGACTGGGAGAAAGAAACATGCTTTTTGCAAATGACCCAAGTTACTGAAAGGCTGCTGTTATTAAAACATATCCACTAGAGTTCAAATAGGCCCATGTCAATAGAAGTCTGGGTTGTAGAGTAAAGAACTAGCAGGCACAGATTCTCTTAAAAGTCATGAGTTTCCTCTATAATGTTATTTTGTAATTGCCCTAGTATGGTAGTGAACACCAGTACTTAGGAGGCTAAGGCAGGAAGATCGTTTGTTTGATGCCAGAGGGCCTACATAGGAAGACTTTGAGGGGGAAAAATATGTTTATGATTGATTTTTGTTTTTACAGATTTGAATTTGTTTATAATTACTTATATTTAGCCAACTTACGTGAGAATTGGGAAGAGGTGAAAAGAAATGCAAGAAAGGCTCCTCAACCTGAAGTTAGGAGATACGTCCTTCCTTTGAACATTGACAAGGTAACCTCTGTCTACACAGACGTCAAATACAGCCAGAATGTTCCATCTCTCTCAGGAGTTCATCTCTTGCTTCATGTTTATGCATAACATCTTCAAATGTGAGAGCTTGGAAAGAGCTTTAAACTAATTAAACTCCTTTTGTTTTACAAAGGAAGAAAGAATGATGGGACAGAAGAAAAAACAACTGCAGCACAGCAGGATGACAGGCAGGTTCCCAAATCTATGGCTCTTTCAGTTACAAAACCCTTCTAAAAGCATAGGCTCCCCAAGATAGTGCAGGCCCACCAATTCTTAGGATCTTTTTGTAAACAATAAGTTTAAGTTCTGGAGAAAGCAAGCATCAGAAAGTACTATTTTAGGGAAATAATTCCATTGTTCTGGTCTTCTGAAATATTTGAAAATATCACTACAGGTCTAAAAGCATTAACAGCTGGGCACTAGTGGCTCACACTTATAATCCTAGCTACTCAGGAGGTTGAGATTTGAGGATGGTGGTTCAAAGCCAGCCTAGTCTGGAGAGTGTGCAAGACTCTTATCTCCAATAAACTACCAAAAAAAGCTACAAGTGGAGGTGTAGCTCAAGTCATAGAGGACTAGCCATGAGCACAAAAGCTCAGGACTCTGGCCTTGAATTAAGCCCAGGACCAGTTTAAAAAGAAAAAAAAAGCTTTAATAGCATTAGATAGTTGTAGAAAAGTTCAAAACTTCCCTCTGATAGTTTGGCAACTGAAACAACTTCATAAACTATGAAACTCAAAAGTCAAATGGTATGGCTTAAATACTCTTCATAACACAGAGGAAAGAGAACTCTAGATACTTATAGAGAAGGGGAAATTACATGCAGGACTTTTAAGAGAAAGAAATGAGACTGAAAAGCAGACAATGTTCTCAAACAAAAGTTCCTTTAGGCTCTAGGTGTGTCTTTTGAATTTTAGCCCCTTCCTCTATGATATGAGTTTCATTTCCCTTGGGAAATGGAATTTCAGTAAGAACAGTGGAAGGTTATCATATTCCTCTTCAGTAGATCTGATCTTTAAGTAGATGCGAGAACTTTGGAAAACTGCTTTCTCCAAATTATTTGCCACTCCCCAAGTTTTCTTCATTTGAAATTCACGGTATATATTTAGGGAGGGAGTTGTTTTTTATTTTTACTTTTCCTTTACCCTATTTCATGATTAACTTTTCAAAATAACCAAATTAATATCTGGACTATTTAGGGAGACAGAACAAAATACCAGTTAAACCAGATATACCAGTTGAAACTAAGAAAAAAATGTAATTTCCACATATAAGCACATACATATATACTTTCTCTTCTTACTATGTTCAAAAGGGAGGGAGACAGCTACATGGAATATGAAACTCTGAATCAAAGATTAGATCAGACATAGTAAAAAAAAAAATTAGAATTTAGAGCCAGTTGTTACTGCTCCTAACCAATGAGTAAGCTCTGTGAAGATGGAGAATGCTGGGGGAATGGCAAAGCGATTGAATCCTATAAGTATGCAAAAGAGCTCTTACAAAGGCCTGGAGTTAGAAAAGGACATGGAAACATACAGTCATTGGTTATATTAGGAGCATAGGGGAAATGAGTGTTTAGCAAGAGGGACTGAAAAAAAAAAAGAATTGGAATGGTATTGTAATGAGCTTAATCAGTGAATGAGTAATTGGATCTGCTGATTTATTCTGAACATATATGGTATGTGTGCAGCACGATGGGGTCTGTGCTTTAGTTTTAGGAAGGCACTCTGGAAATATCATGCAGGACAGATTGGATGATGGTGAGACTAGAGACTAAAATCTCTGTTATAGTATAATTGAGATGGAGTATATAAAGATGAAAAGTACCTGAATAAAGAAAATAACTGGGGCTCACACCTGTAATCCTAGCTACTCAGGAGGCTGAGATCTGAAGATGTTGGTTCAAAACCAGCCTTGGCAGGAAAGTCTGTGAGACACTTATCTCCAGTTAACTACAAGAAAAAGTGCTGGAAATATTGCTGTGGTTTAAGTGGTAGAGAGAGTGCTAGCCTTGAGCAAAAAAAGCTCAGATACATCATATAAGCCCTAAGTTCAAGACCCAAATTAGCACCAGAGAGACACAGAGAGAGACAGAGAGAGAGAGAGAGACAGAGGGAGAGAGAGAGACAGAGAAAGAGAGAGAGACAGAGAGAATCATTTAAGGAACTACATCCTAAAATAAAGAAAAAGGTCAGCTTTTTGTGAATGTATGGTTTCCATTGATTGTACTTTCTTGAAAAGGAAGGCAATTGAGATACAGTACAAATTTTTGACGAGAAGAAAAGCTGACGGTTTTTAGTATTGGAAAAATGATCAAATATATTACCAATAGGGACATTTCTAAAAGGGGGAATTATATTGGCAGGCACTGGTGGCTCATGCCTGTAACCCTAGCTACTCAGGAGGCTGAGATCTGAGGATTGTGGTTCAAGGCCAGACTGGGCAGGAAAATCCATGAGACTCTTAATTCCAATTAACCACCAGAAAGCTAGAAGTGATGCTGTGGCTCAAGTGGTAGAGCACTTACCTTGAGCTGAAGAGCTCAGGGTCTGCACCCAGGCTCAGAGTTCAAGCCCCAACACCAACAAAAAAAGGGGGGAGGGGTGTATTATTCTTTCAAAATGATTTTGTGAAAGAAACGTAAGAAGTTTGCTTAGTTTTGAAATGAGAAATTTGATGGCTTGGGAACAGTAAAATAGAGAAAAAAAACACATGTAAACACAATAGTATAGAAAGTAGTAGAGTGTATGCAAAGTAGTAGAAACAAAGAAGCCAGAAGAAGCACAAAGAGCTGCCAAAGAACCCTACTCATCTCTAAGAAAGGGAACTGCCACCCAGGCTGGGGCTGGAGAGGGCTTCAGCACTGCTCATAGCACACACGTTGAAAAGGATGCAGACCAAAAACAAACCCTGAAAGTGGTCGTTGTCAGGGAAGCAAAAGTCTCAGAAGATTGAGAAGGGTTGAGAAGAGATCACAGAATAAACTAGTTTTTAACTAATAATGGTGGTACCTTTAAAAACACTATTTTTGAAAGACAATGCATTCAAATGGTATAAATGATACATATAAAGGTATACACTGGAAAGTCATATTCCTCTCTCCATCTCTTCCATCCCATTTCTTTTACTTTTTATGTGTAATTTTTGTTGGTATCTTTCTTTTACTTGGTTTATGGAAAAATAAGAAAATATAAACACTACATATAAAATTATACAATTATTATATCCCATTGTCATACATAACAATTAACTTTCAATATTCATCTTCTGCTTTCAATATCTACAGAAGGTTGGGGGGAGAGGTTCTTGCTTGTGTTTTTTTTTTTTTTTGTTTTGCTTTGTTTTGTTTTTGTAGGTCTTGGGGCTTGAACTCTGGGCCTGGGCACCATCCCTCAGCTCTTCAGCTCAAGGATAGCACTCCACCACTTGAGCCACAGTGCCACTTCTGGTTTTCTGATTGGTTTATTGGAGATAAGAGTCTCACAGACTTTCCTGCCTGCACTGGCTTTGAACCATGATCCTCAGATCTCAGCATCCTAACTAGCTAGGATTACAGGTGTAAGCCACCAGATCCTGGTTATAAAAGGTTTTGTGCTGATCTTGGGACTTGAACTCAGAGCGTCTGTGCTCAAGGCTAGTGCTCTACCACTTGAGCCAAAGCTCTATTTCTGGCTTTTTGGGGGGTATTGGAGATAATAGTCTCATGGACTTTCCTGCCTAAGCTGGCTTTGAACTGTGATCCTCCCTATCTTAGCCTCCTGCATAGCTAGGATTATAGGTGTGAGCTACCAACACTCAGCAGTCATTACTTTCCTTCTTTTAGGGGGGGGTCCAAAACTCGGACTCAAACTAGGTACCAGACACATTCGCCCACTGTTTGGCATGCTACCAACTGAGACATGCCTCCAATGCCACTTTTTTTTCATTTAACAGAGTATATTGAGTACTTTTTCAGTATGTAGTATTGTTTACAGTCTATACTGATTATTTCAGTTTACACTATTCTTCTTTAATATACACATTTAATCAACTTCTGGGAAGTAAAATTATTTCCAGTCTTTGGCCACTATGAATGATGTTAACAAGAAATAATTTTGGGGGCTGGGAAATTGGCTCAATGGTAGAGTGCTTGCCTTGCATGAATGAGGCCCTGGGTTCTATTCCTCAGGACCACATAAACAGAAAAAGCTGGAAGTGGTGCTGTGGCTCAAGTGGTAGAGTGCTCACCTTGAGTTGAAGAGAAGAGGGACAGTACCCAGGCCCAGAGTTCAAGCCCTATGACCAACAACAACAACAAGAAATAATTTTGTATATACGTTATTTCACACATGCAAATATATCAATAAGATATGCTTAGAAGTAAGATTGCTGCATCAAAGATACATGTAACTGTTTAAAAATTTAAAAAAGAAATCGAAAGCAAAGAAAGGGGTGACATTTTCCAAAAAGAAGTGTACTTATGAAACAGTAACCCCTCTCTACAACACCTTAATAATAACAATAAAACTATATTTTTAAAAAAGGAGGACTTAGTATGTGGGAATATAAAATTGCTACAGATTTTTATATCACAAATTTAGTAAAAGAAAAGACAAAACAGGAAAACAACTCAATTCAAAACCATATAACCAGGTTTGACATACACATTTGTCCTTGATTACATGCAAGTAGAAAAATATGTATATATACTCACTTCTTCCCTATATAACCACTAAGTACTTCAGGCCCCATTTTACAAATACTAATTTCATTATCTTCTCCATTCCTTCTTTATCCTTAAAGCCTTCCATTACTCTTAACTCATAACCTACTACTAAGAAAAAAACCCTATCTTTTCACTTCAGAATGTACTCTCTACCTTCATCAAATTCTGGCATCTTCTCAAGGACTGTTTTCAGAGCAATTTCCAGGGGAGGCAATTTCTCTCCACATAATAGTATAGACCTTACATCATTGACCTCGGGAGTTGATTGACCTTTGCTCCTCTTTGATCCTTCCAGACCAGTTTTCTTCCCTTCACCCTTAAAACCTCCATCTTTCACATCATTTTAGTTGTATAGCCAAGTAACATGTATACATATGTGTATATTAGCCCTCAGTATCATTATCATCTGCCTCTCTTTAGTTCTCTTTCTACCCTTTGATTCCTTGTAATCACCTTGTATGCCTCATGATTCTTCTGACACCAAGTCAGAAGACACCAAGTCTTCCACGGTTCTTGTCTTTTCCTATCTTTGCTTTCATTTCTCCCCCAGAGTCATGCTCTTCGCTGTTACCTCTGATTGTGATTCTTCCATAATTTCAGTTCCATTCATTACCAGCTCTGAATCCCAACCTTTGCCATTCTGTATCACTTAGCCTACTAAAATCTCCACTATGAACTTCCAATCCATGGAGCATATTACTTTCTCACTATCTTTCATTCCCTTGAAGGATTTACCATCCCACCTCACTCAATTCAAATTCTGTGGTCAATAATTAGGATTACCCACTTGTACCCATCTTCATTTCTTTCTTAGTTTATCAAATTTGTCAAAAATCACAATTTCAGTGAAATTACATCATCTATTCCACTCCATGTTTGTACTTTCAAGTTAGAACTTACGTGCTATAAACACATAATCATGTTAATTGGTCCAATTTTAAATATATGGCCACAAGTGTTACTGTTATATTTCCCCATTTCACTTACATTCTCACTTTTCTAGCTAAATATTCCACATACTCCTCTTCTCAGCTGTTTATACCTCCCACCTCCACCTACATATGGGCATGATGACTATGTGCCCTTTTACTCTGAACAAACGAAGGAAATCTGAAAAGAACCATGGACTCCCTCTACCACATCTACCCACCCACCAACATCCATATACCCAATTATCCATCCTCCTATCCAGACCAAAACTATCCCATCCCCCCAATCCACACAGGGATATCTCCCACGATTCTCCCCATCTCTTCCAGCTCCTTCCTGCCTGCCTTTTCAAATGGATCATTCACGTATGCCTTTACAAAATCCTTCTCAACTCCCTTTATCCCCAACAGGTACCCACACAACATTTGCCACGTTGGAAGGATTTGAACTCCGTCCTTGGGTTCCTTTACTATCCATTTGGGTATTCACTCCTTTCCACAGACTAATATGTTAAAGTAGACCCCTTGTACATCACCCACTTCTTGAACTAAAGCTTCTTACAACCTACTGCCAACTCCAAATCTCCATGTGATATCCCACAGATACCATAAGCTTGGTAAGATGGGATAAACCTGACTTTCTTTCTCACTATCAATAACAAAAAAAAAGTCACCCTACCTTCAGTAATCCCAATCTTTGTTGTGAAAAACAGTTGCCCCAGACAAACATTCTGATGCCATGCTAGCTAGCTCTCCTCCTTTGAAATCCTGCCGTAGGGAAATCTCTTGACTCTCATTGTCTCTAATGCTACTAGACTAGCAAGAAACCATTTTGTTTGGACTAGACTGCTGTAAGACAAACTGGCTTCTCTAGCTTCACTCTTGCATCCACCCTATAGGCAAGGGGAGACTCCACAGAGCATCTAGCGTACTTCTTTTAAAAGCAAATCATAGCATATTGCTCCTCCAACAGCCTCCCATCACTCATTCTCAGGGCAAGTCCATGTCTTCATAATAATCTCTAAGGCTCTTAAGAATCTAGCCCCGAACTCTCTGTGCAGCTCTGCTTCTCCTCTTGCTCAGTGTCTCCAATGCTTCCCAAACACTTTCAGCATCCTCCTTCCTCAGGCTTGGCACCTTAGCGCTCTCTGCTTGGATGCATTGCTGATTTCCTTATATTCTAGCTTTGTCTCCAAGATACCTGACTACCTACTACAGTTTCAACTCACCTACCTTCACATCTCTGATTCTCCTTCCTCTATTGTACTTTTCTCATGGTACCTACTGTTTATTTTTTCATAAAATACTCTCAAGAGAGTTTATGTGAGATAAATGTCTTAAAAAGTATTTGGCCCATCATTTTTTTTCTATATTTTTGCTTCTTTCTGACAACAGAACTTGATGAGTATTTTCACAGTAAACCAAAATACAAGCTAACGGTAAGCCTTCAAGCAATGGATGTCTTGTTCTTCTGAAGACTTTTTTTTAAGTCATTTTCCCAGAAAGCCTTTCTCAGGGTCCTAAATTTCCTTGGAGAACAGAATCACTTTGTGGATGAACAAATTGATGTCCTAAGAGGTCATATGATTTCCTGATGATTGTTAGCCCAAGGCCACATGGGGAGGCATCTCACCCTCTTGAACCACAGCTCCCCTACTTAGCGTCTCCCTACTGCTTCTCCCTATGGGCTGACGTAAGAAAAACTTAGGAGTCTATGTTTATGATTACTTGAGTGTCCCACCTTGCTGCCTGAGGTTTCTGTGATCTTTTTTATTTCCCTCAGGCTGACACAGGCAAGAATTTAGTGACACTTCCCAACACAACTGCCACAGCCATTCTATGCAGTGATGAGACCATCTGGCTGGAGCCCGAGGTCCTCTTTTCAGGGCCCCGTCAAGGTAAATGGGTCTACTAAAACCTCACCTGGAAGAGAGCAAATTTTCTACACAAAAAGATTAACTGAAGGCTTAAAACTTAAAGATTTTCTGAAATGTGTATGCTTTTTGTAGCATTTGAGTTTCCACAAATCAATTACCAGAAGTATGGAGGGAAACCTTACACCTATGCATATGGACTTGGCTTGAATCACTTCGTTCCAGACAGGGTAATTAATCCATCTTGCTAACATTGGAACAGGGCTTTAAGTCCCACACTAGTCAAGCAAAGCATATCAAGTGATTGATTGATTAATTTATTTCTTTTTCTTACACACAGCTCTGTAAACTGAATGTCAAAACTAAAGAAACATGGGTATGGCAAGAGCCAAATTCATATCCCTCAGAACCCATCTTTGTTTCTCACCCAGATGCCCTGGAGGAAGATGATGGTAATGCAAGTCATGGATGTGTCAGAACACTTTTCACTGGAGCTCTATGTGTTAACTCATTAGAAGTTAGGTTGATTATCTCCTAACATTCAAAAATGATTCTTGATACAGTGAATGGGCTAGCACTAAAGAATTTAAACTTCTTGGAAGAAGGTCATCAGATCTTGTTGTTTACTAGTAGAAAAATTGCTCAGCACATTCTGGTGTTGTGATGGAGCTCAAAATGAGTGAGTAAAGAAAGAAACTAGCATCAGAATTGCAAAGTATTTGTTCTTCCTGATCAAAAGTACTTTTGTAAGAAATGTTTTCTGCGAAGGAAATGGAGGAGTCAAGGAAATGGAGGATTCTCGCAGCTAAGAGTTGCTTAAGAGTTGCTCTAGTTTTGCATTGTTCTTTTAGTATGCTGGTGCTGAAAAGGGATCTAGAGCCAGAGCCTATAGCAGAACAATTCAAGTACAATCCAAGTCAATCTGTCTGTGTGTGTATGTGTGTGTGTGTGTGTGTGTGTGTGTGTGTGTGTGGTACTGAGGCTTGTACTCAGGGCCTTGCCTTTTTCATTGGCTTTATTAGCTCATGGACGGCCTTCTAACACTGGTGACGCACCTTTATTTCTCAAAGTATCAATCGTAACCTTTACTTAGCTGGGACAGAGAGATAGATTATACTCTCTGGGATTAAAATATGGGAAATCAAAGAATGAGATAAATAAATGTGGAACCAGTTCATGTTAAAGGATTTTCCATGCATAGCCCATTCAGTCAACAGTACAAAAAGTTTGTTCTTACTTTGTTTGGACAGCTTTCAGATAGATTTTAGAAGTTAGCTATAATATATTTCTTCCTTCAGTCTTATTCCATACACTTTTCACCTAATCCTTACAGCTTTCTTTCAGTAAGTAGAATAAATATTATATTCTACATTATATACAAGAATACAGGCCCATTCATGCACTGTTTAATGAGCATCATGATAACCTAGTTCTTGTGCTAGGATATTGGGTAGCACATAGAGCAGCACAGACATACTTACTCCCTTCTGGAGATTGTGGTCCAGGAAAGAAGGGTTTTAAAGGCTCCTTTAGCCAGGCACTGGTAGCTACTCAGGAGTCTGAGATCTGAGGATCATGGTTCAAAGCCAGTCCATGCAAGAAAGACCATGAGACTGTTATCTCCAATTAACCACCACAAAGCTAGAATTAGCGCTGTGGCTCCAAGTGATAGAGTGCTAGCCTTGAACAAAAGAACTTCTGGATAGCACTTAGGCCCTGAGTTCAAGCCCCAGGATAGATAGATAGATAGATAGATAGATAGATAGATAGATAGATAGATAGATAGATAGATAGATAGATAGATAGATAGATAGATAGATAATTGACTCCTTTAGGTGGCCATGGAGGCAGGTGGTAGAAAAGTCAAAACAAGAAATTAAGTCATGAAGTTTTCTATATTTGTTAATGTAATCTGTCATATATTATCTCAAGTTACATTTATGGTACAGACCTGAGATCCTTTCCATTCAAAAGTGTCTTATTCACTTATGCTTACAGGTGTAGTGTTAAGTGTGGTGGTGAGCCCTGGGGCAGGACAAAAACCTGCATATCTCCTGATTTTGAATGCCAAGGACTTGAGTGAAATTGCCAGGGCTGAAGTGGAAATTAATATCCCTGTCACCTTTCATGGACTGTTCAAAAAGCCCTGAGCATATTCAAGTGAGATATGAAACTGAGTGACAAAACCAAGAATTCCAGCTATGGATGTGCAATTAAACTATGTTCCATTTGAGCTTTCTGTGTGTCGTGGGTTTTACTTGCAAGTGCATCATTTTACAATGTTTTACAAAAAGCATCGAGTAGAACAAATAATTCTTTAAGAAAAGTACATATGAGATCATCTTTCTTTCTCTGTGAGACAAGCTGAAAAATTCTTGAGATATTTAGCTACCAAATAGTGAATGGATGTGAACTTTTTTTTTTCCCCATGGGGCTTGAACTGTGGGACTAGGCGCTGTCCCTGAACTCTTTCGCTAAAGGCTAGCGCTCTACTACTTTGAGCCACAATGCCACTTCCGGTTTTCTGGTGGTTAATTGGAGATGAAAGTCTCATGGACTTTTCTTCTGGGGCTGGCTTTGATCTGCAATCCTCAGATCTCAGCCTCCTAAGTAGCTAGGATTATAGGTGTGTGCCGGTGGCACCAGGTGGATGTGGACTTTTAAAATGGCTTCTTATTCCTATTGGAAAAGTATATTTTACGTAGTAGCTACTTGCTCCATCCTTTAAAAAGCAAAGTCTGATTTGTCTGTAGCTTGGCTGAGTCAAGGCAAAAAGGTTTAATTGCTAAATACCAGCTTTCTCATAAAGCAGGGACTATCATCTAGACATTCATGGTCATTGTTTTGCATATAACTGCTCAAAGATTCTCAAGTTCATAAACTAACTGCTTTATTCTACTTTATTCCATTCCATGCTTAATTCCAGTTAGTGTAGGCAACTGCTAATATTTCTGATTTTGCAATGAGAAAAGTCTAGGCCTTCCTCAACCAAATAGCATCTCAGAGATTTACTTATGTATTAAATACTTATTAACAGCAGTGCAAATGCATATAGTAGAGACCAACATTTTAAAAAACAGAACATAAGATACTTACAAATATAATATTAACATAAAATCAGATCATTGAATAACACTGAGAGGCTTCACTTTGCTCCTCTTGTATTCAGTTATGTTTAAACACTGTGCAACCACCTGGCCAAAGACATAGAGATGGAAATCATTAACTCATTCACATTCAGGTATTCATGCACTTTTTGTAAGTAGTGTGCCTTTTAATCACTCTGTGCTATGCTACAGGTTAGAAAAAGAACAGATACCAGAAAATATTCTATCTCTCAACCCTGTTACGTATTTTATGCTGAAAGGCACTTCATAGCATCACATTTAAGATGCTTGGCATCATGTTTTCTAGGTTAAAAATAGCTTGCAGGAACAGATTGACCAGGGCATTGGAATCATCCATTTGATTTCCATATTTAGATAAAACCAAACTTCATTTCTTCAAGTTCTAGAGACTCATTAAAACATACTTTTCAAAGCAAATCTAAAAATATAGAGAAGTAGAATTTGTAAAGTAAAATCAGACAGCACTCATCTAAATTCAACAACTATTAAGATTTCAGTACTGGTCTTTTTATCTGCTTTCCCTTGTAGATTGATTGCCTAGTGCTGGGGATTTTCCCTTGTAGATTGATTGCCTAGTGCTGGGGATTGAACCTAGGTCTTTGTCCTTGAGGTAAACACTCTACCACTGAAGTACATCCCAGTGTCTAACTTACAGATTTTTTAATGTTGCTACTTATTTATATAGAATTTCTAGACAGGAGAAATAGGGATATGCCAGAGGATTATATGGAATTTGTCATTAAAAATAAATATCCATCTTTGACTTTTTGTCTATAAACATGAAACTCAGAAAAAACAATGCATCCATCTCTTGTTTAAAATGTAGAAAAATAGCCTAGCACTGGTGGTTCACTCCTATAATCCCAGCTTCTCAGGATACTGAGATCTGAAGATCATGGTTTGAAGTCAGCCCAGGGCAAGAAAGTCCATGAGACTCTATTTACAATTAACTACCTTGAAAAGCCAGTAGTGGAGCTGTGTCTCAAGTAGTAGCAACATTGGCCTTGAGCAAAATAAAGCTAAGGGAGCAAGATAAGGGGTGACATTGTCAGAAGAAAGAGGAGAAGGAGAAGGAGGAGGAGGAGGAGGAGGAGGAGGAGGAGGAGGGGGAGGAGGAGGGGGAGGAGGAGGAGGAGGAGGAGGAGGAGGGGGAGGAGGAAGAAGAAGAAGAAGAGGAAGAAGAGGAAGAGGAAGAGGAAGAAGAAGAAGAAGAAGAAGAAGAAGAAGAAGAAGAAGAAGAAGAAGAAGAAGAAGAAGAAGAAGAAGAAGAAGAAGAAGAAGAGGAAGAGGAAGAAGAAGAAGAAAGAAAAGAAAGAAAGAAAGAGAAAGAGGGAGGGAGGGAGGGAGGAAGGAAGGAAAGAAGGAAGGAAAGGAAGGAAGGAAGAAAGGAAGGAAGAAAGGAAGGAAGAAAGGAAGGAAGGAAGAAGGAAATGTACTCTTTATCTGACTTACGTAACTGTAACCCCTCTGTACATGACCTTTATAATAACAATTTTTAAAAGGAAAAAACAAAACAACATCCAGGTCCTCAGTTCAAGCCTCAGTACTAGAACCAAAATTAAAAGGTAGAAAATAAGTTACTAAAAAATTGCTATGTTCAACCAGGTACCAGTGGCTTACACCTATAATCCTAGCTACTTGGGAGGCTAAAATCTGAGGATTGTTGTTTGAGTCCACTCAGAAAAAGCCAGAAGTTGTGCTCTGGCTGAAGTGGTAGAGCACTATCCTTGAGCACAAAGAGGCTCAGAGACAGCACCCAGGCCCTGAGTTCAAGCCCCAGGACTGGCAAAAAAAAAAAAAATACTATGTTCTGGATTTAAGATCTCTAAATTTAAGAGAATTCTTACACTTGCCACTTCTTCCACTAGCAAATCAATCATTCCTCATTCTTCCCATTCCTTTTCTTTTTTTTCAGTCGGGTTTGAACTCTCAGCCTGGGCACTGTCCCTGAGCTCTTCAGCTCAAGGTGAGCTCTCTAACACTTGAGCCACAGAGCCACTTCTGGTCTTCTGGTTGTTTATGGGTGATAAGAGTCTCATGGATTTTCCTGCCTGAGCTGCCTTTGAACTGTGATCCTTACATCTCAGTCTCCTGAGTAGCTAGGATTACAGGCATGAATCACTGCCACCCCGGCTTCCCCTTACCGTTTCTATGAAGCAAGTGTCATCAATCAGACTGCAGTGCGTGGATAGATTCCCTTGAAAGGATGCCCGTCTGAGACACTGTAATGTGAAGGGAGAGAGGCAGCTCTGACAAAATAAGCTCCTACCAGTGCTGTTTTATTGAAATCAAGGTCATCTATTATAGTCACTACTACTAATATAGTAAGAAGATTTAGGAGCTGCTTTTCAAGTCCAAAGATAGAACATGAGTTTTTAATTTTAGAAAAGGAAATATTTAATGCAGGTAAGAGAAAATAACTTACCAATTCAGATTAAAGAACCCTGTTTTCTAAGTATGAACATTTTCTGAATGTGAACCTTATTTTCTGAGGGACAGAAAGGACCAGGATCCATCTATAAACAAATAAGTCTGTTTTAAGGAAAAAATATAATTGAATTAATATGAATGAACATGCTACTAGGTAGTTATTTTTAAGACAGCAATCTATTTTAAGTTGGACACTGTGACACCGCCTGTAATTTCAGCTACACAGGAGACAGAAGAATCGCAGTCTGCGGCCAGCCTGGGGGAAAAGTATAAAACCCTGTCTGAAAAATAACCACAAGTAAAAGGGGGTAAAAGCATGGTTCAAGTGGTGGAATATTTGCCTAGCAAGCACAGGCCATGAATTTAAACCCTAGTATTCCCAATCAATCTGTTTAAAATCAATTTGTGTTCCTATTTGAGGGAGCTTGTGTGCATCATAATCAAGGGAAAAAGGGATTATAACTTCAGGCATGATTCATCAAATTCACCAAAAGATAATTAGTAACTGACAACTGCTTCATCGTAAATAATCTAGATTGAGTCCTTGCACTGTATTTGACAACAGACATGAAAAGAAAGCTATCTTTCAGAACTTCTATAGTTATATAACTCCATCATTCCACAGTTTAGCTGAGGAGTTATATACTGGTTTCTTCTACCAGACTTATATGAAGTATATAGATACATCCTGTAAGGAACATCAAATCTCTTAAATTCAATCTCAGTGGAACATAAACTCTGAAAATCAGGCAAAAACCAACTCATACTTACTGATGTGATGTTCACCCAATACATTACCCATCATGGTACTCTTTCACCATTTGAAAGATGAAAAAGTGATGTCAGTTTACTTTTTTAAGGAGTAGCAAAACTAAAATGAAATGTTCATTAAACTGGAATAATTTCTCCCTTAAAGTATGGTTTCTAGTGATATCTAGGTTGAACACCAGAAATATTCCTACTAATTTAAATTTTGTTTTCAAATAAACCACTATTACACTACTCTGTAACCAAGTCTGATTACAAATAAAATATTTTACTCTTCACTAATGTCTGTTTATTACTGGATCAAAATGTTCTTTGAATAATAGTTACCATTCCCTGGGAAGTTTTTTGTTTGTTTTTTGTTAAAGGTTATACCAGTATTTGCCATAAAACCCTGTGTAGAGGGGACTCAATGATGTTACTTTGCAGGAGAGGAAACTGAAACACAGCAACATTTTAAAATCTGGCCACATTCCCACAAAGAATTGTGATCTGACTAAATACCTCTTGCCAAACACCATTGGTAAGGCACTCCGTAACTTGAACATGGGACCACTACCTCTTCTTAATGACATCACAAGAAGTTTAGGTTTTGTCGTTAAACAGATTGTGAGTCAAGAAAGTAAGACTGTAGTTTTGTATATAGACCTCTAATTCCCTAAGACCCAAATAAATTCATCTGAGCAAATAATTCATTAAGTTTCTCACCTCAAAGGCAGGATAATAAATAAATAGTAAAATCTGGTAGCATGAAATTGAAGTTGGGCTTTTATAATGGAGGGAAAAGGAAGAATGGATTTAAAATGTCAGATATTATGGCATGAAGGGTTGGAGAAAGAAAGCA